AAAAAATAGTAATCAGAAAGAAGGCGAACGCCGAAATACAAAAGCTCAAAAAAATAATAGAAAAACAGAAATATTTGCAACGTAGAGGCGCATTAGAGTTAGTTCGATCTCAGGTGATGTTCCAGTGCTTGTTTGTCAGCTCTTACTATTCGTATTAAATATTAAAGAGTTTTCTTTTACATCTTAATAGGTATCCTTAAGAAACGAAGAAAAAGAGACAAAGGAGTCTTTCAAAAACAAGAAAAAAGAAACAAAACCTGTCACTTTCACAGAACCTACAGACAAAACTAGAGTCTCAATTTTTGCATATCAAAATTGGGCAAAATTAATTTCGGACTTATAGGGCGAAACTCAAAAATAATTTCGCCCAAAACACTAGACAAAACATTATATTATTTATCACAAGACAAGAAATTCATCGATCTTTTACAACGGACATGTAATGATAACAATATAAGATTCAATGATGTGCAATCTTGTGTAGGTGGTTATATTACACCGTGTCCAAATATTTTCACGGACACAGTGGGATATGATTAATGAAAATCACCGAATGAAATCTTATCTTTAGGTGATACTTTAGCGTACCATGGTCATTTAGTGATAACTAATGTTTGGGGCGCAATCCATTTACAAAATCCGAAAGGCGAAACCGAAACTCCCCCAAAGGCGAAATAAATCTGAAATTTCTGAAACTTACGAAATTTCCGAAATGAGCAAAACTTGGCGAAATGTCCGAAATCTAAAATTAGAAATTTGATTTTTTTTTTTTTTTTTTGAAAAAAATATCCGGAGCATAGTGAAGAAGTCTCGGCCAAAGCACTATTTGATTGGATGGTGTGGAAAGATCCTCATATGGGAACGCGAAGGGTTTTAGCTCTATGGTTAAACGATATTTTTGGGTAAGGATAGTTTAGCGAAGTTAGGTTTAGCGAATATATTTCATTTAGGAATTTATTGTTTAATGTAATGGGTCAGATTATTATTTTAATAAAGCAAAGACGGGAACTTGAACTATTTTCCCTCTAGAGCCTTTACGGGCTTTATTTATAATAAATTTTACTTATTTACATCTAGGAGACTACATTGCCATTATTCCCTATGCGGTCTATATGAATTATAATGCCTTTATCTCTATTCTCCTTAATGCTCATATTCCCCACATACCCCTCCTGGTCTTTATTGCCTCGTGACCGAAGTTGCCAAAGTTGCCAGGTAACCTTAATTCGGAGTTATCGAAGTCACGTACCACGTGACTTCGTCGGCTAACATCAAAATATATCGATATGCGATAACGATAATTAAATAATAAAAAGTTAACAATAATAAAAATTAAATTGATTAACGATATACACTTCATAATAGTAATATTGTTCTGTATTAAATACGCATTTTGTCGATTATTAATCGATCAGAGTCATTCTTTAATTTCATCAATTGAATAAGATCGATTCTTAAAATATAACTATCAAACTTATTATACTTTCGATTTTTTTTTTTTTTTTTTGATTCTGCGAATATGAATAATTAAAAAATTATAAAAGTTTATTGAATTCAATTAGATGTCTGTTCGAAATCCTTCAAAATGGGACAGAAATAGGTAATTGGTCGAGACGGAAAGCATAAGAATGTTCGTAGTTTGGCTACAGCATAATCCAACCAATCACATTATTTAAATTTATTAAGAATTTTGTTCAATATAACAGTCGCAAGTTAATATTTTTTTAAAAAAAAAATGAAAATTCGGATTAGTTAGGGTTAGGGTTCGAGTTAGTATTAGGGTTAGGGTTAGAGGGCATACATACATGCAAAATTAAGAGCTGAAAACTTTTAATTAGAAGCCCAAGACTAGCTTACATAATAAAATTTTAAGATATTTAAAATTTTAATTTTTTTCTTGATTTTTTCCTAATTTTTGTTCGGTTTTGTTACACAAGATATTGTGATCTAATTGGTCGGTCATGCGATATAGCAACTTGCGATAATTAACAACATCCGATATTGCTGTATTAATTAATAAATAAAAATATACTTGCGTAGAGTGGAAGTTTCATAATAACCACACTATATAGTTAAAAGTTTAATAAAATGATGTAATTATGAGTTCATGATTACACTATTGATCTTGAACCTATAAATATGTATATTTTTTTTTGTGG